TAAAGATCGTTTAGTTTGTTGTTAAAGATCGTTTAGTTGTAAAAGATCGTTTAGTTTGTTGTTAAAGATCGTTTGGTTTGTTGTTAAAGATCGGTGAGTTTGTTCATAAAGATCGCTTAGTTTAATCTTAAAGATCGTTTATTTTGTTCTTAAAGATTTTTTAGTTTGTTGTTAAAGATCGTTTAGTTTGTTGTAAAAGATCGTTTAGTTTGTTGTTAAAGATCGTTTAGTTTGTTGTTAAAGATCGTTTAGTTTGTTGTTAAAGATCGTTTAGTTTGTTCTTAAAAATCATTTAGTTTGTTCTTAAAGATTTTTTAGTTTGTTGTTAAAGATCGTTTAGTTTGTTGTTAAAGATCGTTTAGTTTGTTATTAAAGATCGCTTAGATAGTTCTTAAAGATCGCTTAGTTTGTTTTAAAGATCATTTAGTTTGTTCATAAATGTCGTTTAGTTTGTTGTTAAATATCATTTAGTTTGTTCTCAAAGATCGCTTAATTTGTTCTTAAATGTCGCTTAGTTTTTTGTTAAATATCGCTTTCGCTTAGTATTAAATGACTGCAAACCTGAGTAACTTTCGGCCGTAAGGCCGAAAGTCTAAGTCAATTTCGGCCGAAACCGAAGAAAAACCGAAAGTGAACTTTTCTCTTTCGGCCGAAACCGAAATTAAGCCGAAAGTTAACCTTCAGTTTCGGCCGAAACCGAAACTTGGCCGAAAGTGATAAAATGGCCACTTTCGGCGCCGAAACCGAAGCCGAAATTCGGTCGGCCTCTACAAGCCACTTTCACTTAAGTTTTTTTCTATTATTTGCATTCAAGATACCAAGTACATTACTTGGTAGAGAAATAGATTTTAAAATTAACAATAGTTTTGACCCATTCGCAGTCACGTGACAAGGCTGAACGACAAGATATCTCTCGCCACTTTGTTACGGCGGTCATGTGACTTGGTCGCCGGACAAATAGTGCGGGAGATATATGTCTGGCGCGCCGGACATGTAGACACTGCCTATTTTATTTGAGACACCATCTTTTCAACATGTTGGCCTAATGCCGGCAGTTGTGCTCCTATTATTTGTGCGTAATTTTTTATTTGGAACCTGTAATAAAGTGTGTAAAAGTGTATTTCATGAAACTGTAAGTTGGGTTTTAATTATTTCTTGGTTTTAGAATTATTTTTGGCTTCTTTTTTGCCATTTTTTTTGTTTTTTGTTCATTTTCAAATTCCATGTGTTTTTACGGCTGCTTACTTGTGGCCTTAGCCTTAGGCTTTGTTGGGTTAGGTTTATGGATCAACTGTTGGCTTATTTAATATTTATTTTACATTGGGGAGGGGGTCACCCCTCCCCAGATAATTTATTTGTTTCTGATTTTGGTATTTACAGTGGGGAGGGGTCTGGGGAGAGGGTCTTCTAACTCTTTCTAATTTGCTTGTAACTAAAATCAATTACAAGTTGTCAAATTTAATAATTGTATAGCACTTAGAGCTGTAAGGTAAGCCACAAATACATTACAGGAAGAGAATCACATACATTGATCATGAAGACGTGAAGTTAAAGTTGTCCGAGGCATTGTCATTGTGTTATCAAGCGATTGTCAACACAAAACAACAGTATGATGATCTATACGAAACACTGCAGTGATTTTTAAAAGTCTTTTAACAATAATTGAATATCATTGAATTATATGTACATTTGCATTACACAGTCATTAGTAAAAATGCCGGCGGACATAAGCAACCCCCTCTCCGGGTGGAAGGGTGCAAAAGGTAAGTTTTTGTGCGGAAGCCCTTTGCGGACAACCCCTATCCAGAGCCGTGATTTGTGTAGGCCCCCTTTTTGGCTAAGCCTCTGCCCATAACTCACCTCCAGGCTCTTGAACAACATAATCTGTTTTAAAAGCTGCACACCCCTTATGATTTCAATACATATCCAACACACACCCCCTCCAATAAATTTTTTAAATAAAAATGCAAATAAGCCTTACAGCCTATTTTCTGGGTCTTGTTAAGAACCCTATAAGACTTTTAAGCCTCATTTTTGTCAAGCAACACTAGTAACACAAAATTTTCCTGCTAATATCCTAAGTTTACTTTTTGTTCCTTGAGTACATATAGGTATGTAACTGTATAATTAATGCTTTATATTACCTGATACTGATATTATTTTTTTCAATATCGTGCTAAGGATTTTTTACCCTTAAATTGTACCGGTATCTAAATGCTCCCTCTCCAGATGCTTCAAATATTTAAATGATCTCATAATAGATGTGGTGGATTGCATTTGGGTAAAGAATTCTACTGTACGCTTAACTTTTAGACCAACTCAATAATACAAAATGTAAGGACTCTATTATGTGGGCTCAGGGTTACAAAAGTTAAATCTTCCTAGCTCTCCCTAAAGACAGACTTGATAAAACTAGGTGAATTAAACTTGATCTTGATAAAACTAGGTGAATTAAACTTGATCTTGATAAAACTAGGTGAATTAAACTTCATTTTTAACTATCTTGTAGTGTTTTTGTAAATAATTAACAAACTCTTTTTGTTTTGCCCAGGTGACAGGCAAGTAAAGTCTCTAATTCTAATGTACAAGTTCAGGTTTAATCAGAACTCCATGAAAAAAGTCCAGTAAAAGTTTGCCACACTCACCATCAACACCAGACTCATGGGGGGAGGAAAGTGATATAGGTCTGCATAATTTATTATAAAAATTTTGCAAGTGTGAATATATGAATATTCAAAATAGTTAATGCCTAAAGATATCAGTACACTCATTAAAATACCATTTGACCTGATTTTGTTGTTGTTTGAGAACCATAATGTATTGCATTTTAAATCATTTTTATTGCCATTGTTGGATCATCATACAGTGTCTTCAATGGAAGCATACCATGGGAGCAAAGGTCAAGAACATTAATGTTGTCAGAAGAAGTATTGCAAGATGGTGCCGGTAAAGATATTTCAGTTAATACTGTCGTGAATTTTATTTAATGTTATCATCTCCATGATAAGTCTAAAATTATATTCTCTCTAAAAATGTTATAATATTACGGTTTTTAATGAATGTTACCCTTTTTTTTTCCCACCTTGACAGATATTCCAGAAAATTCTCTTGAATCACCTATGAGAAGCACATCTCGATGATCTAAAACACTTACAGAGGTGAGAAGAGACAAAGATGCACTGTCCTGCTTCAAGTCCTTCATGAAAAGCCAGAGTGCTGAGCACATCATCCAGTTTTGGTGTGAGGCTGAATCCTTCCACGTCTCAACTCTCATGCGTCTTCGAACTCAGTCTTTGTTGCTTGCTTTGCTTCTGGCCCAGTATTGAACTATGGTCCATCAGCATCCCTTGACACAGACTTGGCCATCAATAGTATTCCTTTGCCAAGAAACACTGAACAAAATCAAGATAGATCTATTCTGGCTACGCCTACAGATCTACTTAATCAAGTCCCGCCTGATGTTAAAAACTCCTTGCCAGCACCAAAGCAATATTCTAACTCCCCACTTGATAACACAAATCAAACCAATCACCAGTCCTTGACAGCCCCTACAAATTTAAATGTGACAGCTCAGCCTAACCATACAACTTGCATGCCTTCAGATGATACTGTAACAAGTTAAAAAATCTCAGCGTCCACCATCTGTGATAAAAATGTTGTTAAGCCGTTGAGTTTTTCTGCTGATGATTCAGAAACTTTTGGCTGTGACTACAGTGAATCTTCTTCTTCTTATATTTGAGGGGCCCACGATCAATTTGTTGATCATTCTGGCTCCTAGTTTAAATTCAGAGTTTGCCTTCTCTTAGATGGGTTGCCGTCCAAGGCTAACGAGTCCCATCCACCCCGGGGTGCTTGGGATGGCTTTGGTGGGGATTGAACTCCGGACCACCGGCTTTTTGGTTTGAGACAGTTTAGACCGCTCGGCCACCCAGCACCCCAAGGCATCAACCAAGGCAGCATCACTGACCCAGCTTTCCAAAACTGTTGGCAGTGAAAATATACCCACAGAAACAGAATTCGCTGCACCAGTGGAAGTGAGTCAAGAAGACATTGCCAACAAGCTAAAGAAGAGTAGGTTGGGTTTTTTTTTTGGGAGGTTGGGTAGGGGTTGTGTTAGCGTCTGTTGTTAGGGGATAAAATGGAGTAATGGTAGAATGTTAACGCATGAGCAATTTGTTGTGCTAAGATTTGTTATTGTTGGTTATTCTTTTAGGATGTCCCTTAGTCTTTATAGCTTTACCTATATTGTAACAGCAAACTGTAGTTCTATCTAGATGGAGCTGTAAAAAGTTATGGACATTTTCATAAATAAATATACATTACAATTCATATACCCGTATATCAACAAATGAATTTGAGATTTATCGTGAATAACTGAAATGAATGGTATTAAAAAAAAGGATTTAATTTATTATAAAAATTCTTTTATGACAATATATTTGTACATTCTATTTTCCTCTATTCAGAAAATCCCATGATTCAGCAGTCTTAAAAGCAATTTGTTTTTAACTTCATAACTGTGCAAAATATATGAACAATGAAATCAATGAGAATAAATAATTTTTGTGTAAATACTCCTAAACATAATTTCATTTGAACAATAACACGATTTTAAAAAAGTATGTACATTGTATAGAATTGAACCCTCTGCCTCTCATTTGTGAGGCTGGGGTTGTATTTTTGTTTAGACTAATAAAGAATTATTTCTGATGTAAAAGAAACATATTCCCTCACCCATAGCAGTAATTTTCATTCTTGCTTGATTCACATTTTTTAACAAAACTTAGTTTTTCTCCTTTGCACAATTCTACTTATGGACTATTTAGGATTTCTTAATAATAAAGTTATGATATTTGGACTACCTCAATCTTTAACAGTCAGTTCAACACAATTTTTGTTCAGTTCCTCCTACTGTTATACTAAGATTTCAAACTAGATTTCTTGACGAAATTACTTCTTTCAATCATTCTAGTCATTTATGAATACGTTACTTTCTGTCAGGTATAGAACGAGATGCTGTAACAATTTTTTCAACTTACATCGCTAAAGGCTCACCAAAACCTATTGGAGTTGATGACACGCTTAGAGCTGAAGCCATCAGTAAGTCTTACTGTCCGTGCATAAGTGCCTTGGCAGTTATTCGATGCTCATTATGTCTCCATGACAGAAATTTATTTTGTGTGGATTTGTATACAGCATTTCACAATATATTTTTCAGTGATGGCTATCACCAACCCATGTGCTATCGTTACATTATGTAATAAGTATCTTAATGAATTCTGTGACTTCTCCCAATGATTTCACAGGTAAAATTTGTCAAGAAAATGGTGAGGTAGATCCGGAGTGTTTTGCCAGCTGTCGGAGATTTGTGTTAAATAAGCTAGAATCAGAGTAAGTGTTCACTCGGCTCAATCTGAACGGTAGAACAGGTTTACATATGTAATGTCATTAGTTTAGCCCATAATGAAATAGTAAAGTTTTATTAAGAAAATCTTTTTTGAGGAAAATAAAAATTGCTAAATAACAGGTAAAGAAAAACAATGATAAACGTTTTAAATACCCGGTACAAATTGAACACGCTTGACCCTTTTCCTTTCTCTCTCTCTTTCTTTTCTTTTTTTCCTTTTTTTTTTTTCTAAATCAGTTATTTCTTAGAAATGAAGTTTCCATTCTGAGCCAATGTTTAGTTTTGAGATTTAACAGAATATGTGTTTTAGCTCTTAGCAAAATGATGTGCTTTTCTTAGATATTACCAGCCTTTTAAAGACAGCGAGTTCCACTGCCGACATCAAGTCAATGTTCTAACAACAGAGAAGTTGTTCTTACCAGATATTCTCTTCAATGAAAATGCCCTGTGTTACTTTATGGAGGTAAGGTTTGTTACTTTATGGAGGTAAGATTTGTTACTTTATGGAGGTAAGATTCCTTACTTTATGGAGGTAAGATTTTGGAAATAGTGAGGAATTAAGTTATTTTCACAGGATGGGAATAGTGAGGAATTAGTTTCATGTCATATCATGGAAATAGTGAATTAATTAATTAATATACATTCCAGTAAATTAAAATTTGACAAATAAATTTTACTCTTGGTCTGAGATCAGTAGTTCTACAATATTAATTCTAACTCGACCACATATACTATTGATTGGGTTAATTTTAAAAAGTTGTGTACCAGTAATTAAAAAATTAAAGTAATTTGGTCAAGTCAGTTTAAAATATTTAAATGATTGAGGTTTTACCTCCACTTACAATTTATGGAACAAGAGGGCGCTAGTGACCTTATGCAGATGTGGCTTGCAGCTGAAAATTTCCAACAACTGCTGTCCACAAGCGGATCTTACAATTGCAAGCAAGCACAGATTGATGCCATGGTTTTATATGACAGGTATCAAACACTTTACTATTTTTTACCAATTGCAGCATTAAGGGAGATTTTACCAATGTGTTAGTTACTAAAGATAAAAACTGATCAGATCATGATGGGGGCTTATGCTTAATTTTGGAAAAGTTACTAAGTTGGCAGAATTCAGATTAATTTAAATGTCAGATCATATTTATATTTTACATTCGATTATTTCTAAAGCTAATTTTTTTCCAAATAACAGCCACTATAGGAATTGGTCATTACTTGAATCACTACCACTATAGAAACTGGTCATTGAATCACTGCCACTGCATCTTTGTTGTTAAGTTAGAGAATAAACTAGCCAGTTATCTCCATTCCATGTTCACAGATATTTTTCCCTCCAGGCCACTAATCCTGTTGGCTTTTCGGATAAAATGAGATTTGAAATTGAGGATGTTTGTATGCCAGGATGTTTTACTACAGCCAAGAACATTGTGCTGAAGATCATAGATAAGGTTGTTCACATGCCATCAATTTTATATTTTCACCACTGGATCTTTGTGATGATTATTTTTCGCTCAGACAGTATGTGATGCTAGTTCACTCAATGACAATGATGCCTTCTGTTACTTCTGGAATATTCCAACTGATTCAGTCACACTATCTTTCACTAGATGTACTTCTCAAACTACCTTCAGAGTCAGGTCTGCTACAGATTGTTGTTCATCCGTCGAAGTTGACAAGGACCATCGAATCATCCGATTAGGGGGAGGTTGGGATTACGGTGAACTCATAGGTGCCTTGCTAGACCGATCCTTGCTCGGAATAATCTATGACACCATGGGCACCGTTGCTCTTTCGGACAAGCCTGTGTGTCTCAGCTGTGGTTATTCTATTGTCTTTATGGAATTTTACCCCCTTCTTGACAGCAGCTCTCCACCTGGCTCTGTCCTGGGCTGTCTGCACCCATTGAGTAGGGTTTATGCTGAAGGCCTTTAGTCCCACTTTCAGTGAGTCTTTGTAATGCTTTTTTTGACCTCCTTGGGAGCGCTTGCCTATCGTGAGTTCTCCGATGAATAATTGTTTCGGGAGCCGGTGGTCTTCCATATGGGCTACATGTCCCATCCAACGGAGCTCAGACTGCATCAGAGTGGTGAATATACTAGGTAGGTTCGCTCTAGCGAGGACCTCGGTGTCATGGACTTTGTCTTACCACCTGATGTCGAGGAGTTTCCTGAGGCAGGTAGTGTGAAAATGATAGTTTTTGGACGCTGGTAGACTGTCCACGTTTCACATCCATAGAGCAGTGTCGGGAGGACTGCTGCGCTATAGACCTTGAGCTTTGTTTCTCGTCTGATACCTCTCCTGCCCCAAACAGTGCTGCGGAGCCTGCCAAATATGGCACTAGCTTTTGCGAGTCTGCAATTCATTTCATCATCCATGACGACAGATCTAGAGAGGGGGCTGCCCAAGTAAGTAAATTTATCCACGGGGTTGAGAAGCTCTCCACTGATGATGATGTTGGGTTCAATGTAGGGCTTACTGGGAGCTGGCTGATACATCACATCAGTCTTCTTTGTGTTGATTGTGAGGCCAAAGTTATTGCAGGCCTCAGAGAAGATATCAACGCCGTGTTGCATGATGGCTTCTGAGGGAGCATTGAGGGCACAATCATCTGCAAACAGAAGCTCATTGATCGTGGTATGTTTGATCTTGGTTTTAACTTGAAGCCTTTTAAGGTTAAATACTGATCCATCAGTACGAAACCGGAATGGCAAGCCTGTGGTGGAGTCCTTAAACGCATCAGACAGCATTGCGGAATACATAATACTAAAGAGTGTGGGAGCAAGAACACAACCCTGCTTTACACCGTTTGTGACGGGGAATGCTTGAGATGATTGACCGTTGTCCTGCACTCGGGCCATCATACCATCATGCAGCTGACGGATGATGGTGAACTTGTCTGGGCATCTGTATTTCTTCATGATTTTCCACAGGCCACCTCTATTGACCCTGTCAAAGGCTTTATTCAAGTCGATAAATGTAGAATATAGGTCTGTATTTTGTTCCTGACATTTCTCTTGAAGTTGTCTAGCAGCAAACACCATATCGATGGTTCCGCGTTTTTTACGGAAACCACATTTACTTTCGGGTAGGAGACCTAGCTCCAGATGTGCATTCAGGCGGTTCAGAAGGGCTCGGGCCAAGATCTTGCCTGTAGTGAAATTCCGCGGTGATTGTCGCAGGCCTGGCGGTTTCCTTTGTGTTGGTACAGGTGGATAATTGAGGCATCCTTGAGGTCTTGTGGTACCGTTTCCGTCTACCAGATGATTTGGAATAAACACAATAGCTTATCTGTCAGCAGTGGTCCATCCTCTTTGTAGATTTAGGCAGGAATCATGTCGGTCCAGGTACTTTGCCATTGGACATTTGGCAGATCGCTGTCTGTATCTCATTAAAAGTTGGGATGGCGTCCAGTGAATTGTTTGTTGGGACCTGGGGGAGTCTTTCAATGGCCTCATCATTAATGATGGAAGGTGTATTGAGCACACTTTCAAAGTGTTCCGCCCATCTTTCCAAGATTTTCTCTTTGTCTGTAATGAGCGTAGAACCGTCAGCACAAAGGAGAGGGCAAGAGCCTGATGTGGCAACACCATATAATTCTCTCAGGCCATTGTAGAAGTTTTTCGTGTCTTTCTTTTCTGCAAAGCCCTGTATTTCATCATCTTTTGAATTTAACCAGGAATCTTGCATCTGGGGCAGTTGTATCCAGGGTTCCCGCGGCCTCCTGAAATTCCAGGAGCTCCTGGAAATCTCCTTGAATTTGAAAACAAATGATAAAATCCTGGAAAACTCCTTAAATTTTAAAATTTCTCCTGAAATGTCCTGAAATTTTTGTTTCCACAGAGGGAGGAGTAAAAAAAATCTTGGTCGCGATAGTTATTTTATAAATTAATATTACCGCTATATTCAATTCGTAGTCTATTTTTAGCCATTCATTTATCAAAACGAGTTTGCCATAATAATCCTAGTGGTTTCCCCTTAACTGCGCATGCGCTTTACGAGTTTCGGATATGAAATGTCGTACCGTAATGCTTTGATAGACAAGAAGTTTTTTTCGTTCCGTTCAGTTCGCCGTTCAACTAATTTATTTGGTAAGTATAGTGTAAAATACAGTAAATAGATATTTATCTGTAGTTATTTAAATTTTTGGTAACTATTATTAGTATTATGAATAGAAAACTACGCGCCCGATCGCTGTATAATTTGACTAAGCTTAGCCTAATTTTTTTTTAAAGTTGAAGTTTTGTTAGTTTTACCGTAGGTTGTCCAAACTGGAGAAAGCGTAGTTTTAGTTTTGGGGTCATTTTCCGAAGTTTTCAAAAACAAAAATTAACCTACTTATATAGTAGTTTTAAAGGAGTACAATTTATGTGAATAAAGTTTAAGTCTTTATCTGACGAATTATCTTACTTTTATGTCTTTAACACGAGTTTGAAAAGTATCAGTTTTGACCATTATATTATCGAAGTGATTATTCACAGAGCTGTGTGGATAACGCTCGCCGTTATTCACAGATTTCGGTCTGCCGATAACGCTAAACGTTATTCACAGAATGTGATAAATTAATTAATGAATATAAAGTACAAAGTTCGTTTATACACATCTCCTTGGTAGAGTAGTGGTCAGTATCTCAGACCGTCACCCAGCAGAAATAGGTTCGATTCCCCGGCCTCATTTTTATAAATAAAATTTAAAAACAAAATATTTAATGGTTATTTCGTAGTGTTATATTATAATAATATTCTTCCTATAACTTTCTTTTTCTGTTCACATAGTTTTATTGTTATTTTCATATAGTTTTGTTACTTATGTTACAAGTTTCAATCTATTTTGTTAGAATGTTCATTCAAGTTTCGTTAAAAAAATGTAAACAACATGGACGTACAATATGCAGATCAGCCGCATAAACCATGTTTAAGTCAGATACAGCTGTTCTAACTGTACATTGTGATATACTTTTAGCTCTTTTGACTATTTAATTTTCTTTGTATAATTCCACTCATAGACTTTAACATCCATTTGTTTTTTCTCTAATAAACAAATACTTATTAATAACTTACTTATTCAAATATTTTAGATCACAGAGTTGTGTATTAATGTTTAGCTGAAAAAATATGTCACGTTTTATTTGTTTCATTTTATTTTCTAATAAGTATCATAATAAGTAGGGACACAATATGCCGCTCCAGAAATAGTTGAAATAACACTTAGTGATGACAATGAAA